TTTGAAAATAGATTACTTTTTGCTGACTTATTTGATAGTATTTTTAATCTCTTGATGTACCAATTAGATAGAGTTCATTTTCTATCTCTTTTCTTATTTTCCACTTGTACAGTCAGAAGACACAACATCTCTAAGTTACACAGCAACAGGCCTCAAACCAAACACAATGTATGAGTTCTCGGTCATGGTAACAAAAAATAGAAGGTCAAGCACATGGAGCATGACTGCACATGCCACCACATATGAAGCAGGTACGTGAAGAAAGACTAGCTTAGAAATGTCTACTTTTGACATTTAGTAACCGTGTTTCCCAGGTTCTGCAGAAGCTGGAACATATGCCCACTCTGGTGTCTCAGTTACAGCTTGTCCTATATAAAATATTTTACCTTTTATAATTCATAGCACTTTTATATCTAATATTATTCTTCCTATTCTAGGAAAGAAGAAAAATAGTCTCCAATTGATTAAATAATCTGGTTGCATTATTAAGATATGGCTTCTTTGGTGTGTTAACTTGAGAGATCTAAATATAAATCTTCTTTTCATTATATTTAAGTAAACAGCAGAAATGCATCTATTGAACTCTGTCTGAAATAGTGTGTCTTTGAACAACAGTCGTGGTAGATATTTGCTATTTTGAAAGAATTTAGATACAAAATAAAACATTACATTACAACTGTAGTCTTACGGATACTTACCTAAATAACTTCAGCTGGATAAGGGAAGAAGTTTCCAGGTGTTGTCCACTCTTTGGAAATGGAGCAACATAATGGAAAACCTTTACGTAATTTGAAATATTTCAAACCTAGGGTAATGCAATTCAGTGTACATTTTACCAGTCACATTTTTTATAGTTCATAAATGTAGTTTACAGCCTTAACAGGGATGCAGTGTACTTGGAATTTATAGTTCACAAAAATACATCTAAAGAATACAAGGTTTAACATGCTTTTTAATTGGTTTCATGATATTATGTTTTTGGGTAAACTACACCACAAATTTTCAAATTAATAGTTCACAAAAATACATCTAAAGAATACAAGGTTTAACATGCTTTTTAATTGGTTTCATGGTATTATGTTTTTGGGTAAACTACACCACAACTTTTCAAATTAAAAAAAAAATGATGCCAATAAAGCTCTTCTTTGGGTAAGTTGAATTTCTCTTTCAAATAGAGTTTGTCCCATGGCATTGCAGTCCTAATTTTTATTTCAGACTTTCGCCTTAACTATTAGAGTTCCACTGTGGATATTTTTACATATTTGTGGGTACTTCTTTCTACAAGAAGTTTTCTAATTGATCTTATTTAATTTTAACATCCTCTTTCTCTACTTACATGTTTTACATATATTAACTCTTCATTACAGAATTCTGCCCTGATGCCAATGTTCATAGCTTCTTAGGAAGCATAAGACCAGCTGAATGAGTTACATACTACAGAGGAGAATAAAGGGTCTTCTTTTCCTTTTTACTTGAAAAGAGATGAATGGAGTCAATTGTGACCTAAAAAAAGATCTGGTCTTCCCTGAGTGAAAGGGAAGAGGGAGTAATTTTGTCTTAATGAGAGTGAATCCATTTATTTTTGCCTCTCATAAACATAAAATGAACACCAACATTTGACTTGATAAATGCATCCTATTGATTTCTCATCAACTGCCTACCCTTGTAGGAACACCAATGGTGGGACCCATTGCTGACAAAATGATATTAACTTTTAGAAATGTGGTTAGTAGAAAGGGTGATTGTCAAATCAGATAATGATCTGGACAAAGGTGTAAAAAGCATGTGGATGAGATCCCTGGATGATGATGAGAAGCAAGAAGTAATTCACAAGTGTCTGCAGATTTTACAACTGGGAGAAGGAGATGAAGTGAATGAAATAATGCTAGGGTTTGCTTCTAATTCTGCAATAACATAAAGACTGTATGGGGCTACATTGTTGTATGCCAAAATGGCTCATGGTAAAGGTAAGGGTGGCTGACAGATTTTTGAAATAAAACATTTCATTCTGTCCAAATGATGAACGTTTCATTTTTATCCTGGTTAAACTTAAGTAAAATAAAAAT